GTGCCAGGGTCTGACCACCCTCACGGAGAAAAAGGGTTCTCTTCAGTTTAAGCAGAATTTCAGTATGTGCCCATCGCTCTGTCTTCTCTACTCACCCCCACCAGGCATTTAAACACGTGGATAAGACCCCCTGAGCCTTCTCTTCTTCCAGGCTGAGCAGTCTCAGCTCTCACTCTCTCCTCACACAACAGCTGCCCCAACCCCTTGATCCTCTTTGTGGCCCTTCGCTGTTCTTGCTTAAGTAAGTCCATGTCCCCCCTGTACTGGGGAGCCCAAAACTGGACCTGGCACTCCAGATGTGGCCTCACTGGTCCTGAGAAACACAAAAATCGGGTACAATGTTGAACATCAGAGACCTTGCTTTTGGGATCCCTGTTGATGGGTGTGATGGAAGTAAGAACCTTTCCTGCTACTGCAGTGGGAAACTAAGCCGGCCCTGGGGCATTTCTGCAAAGCAGCAAGTGGTGCAGGTTTTACTTCCCCTCTTGCATTTTCTTTTATGAGATGTAGTGCTTCCCAAACAGCATTTTCTAAACACAGCTTCTTGAGAGGTGTTCTTCATTGCCGACCAGCCGAGGCTGGCAAGTGGCTTGTGTGTTTTGTTCTCTCCAATGGGCTCAGGGCTAGCTTTCTAACAGGGCTGAAGAGAAAGCAAATATTTTCTGCAACTAGCAGTTGGCCTCACCTCTTGGCAGCGCGGCTGTCTGTGGGTTTTTGTTTCCTTCCTGGGGTGAGGCTGGACGCTGAGGGCACAGCGCCCAGCCAGCGAGCTCCCAGGCTGCGGGCGCTGGGTGCCCCGCGGTCGCTGCCAGCACCAGTGGCCCGAGCCTCTAGCACAAGGGAGTGCGTGGGAGGTGGCAGGGGGGGGGGGCAGCCACCGACCTCTTTGCAGAGGGCAGGACAGAGTGGTAAGGCTGCTGCGTGCAAGTCACGGCTAAGACGTTCTGGTTTTGTTTTTAGCTGTATTTGCAACAGTCCCCAGCTGTTGGCTTCGGATTCACTCTGGGTACTTCTATACTGGAGATAAAGGGAATAAAGCACTATTTTTTCTCTTTGTACACCATAGTCTGATATTCTCTCATCCCCTGCTTTATCTCCTACCCCTAAGGAGATTATTTTTATGCTCTCCATCAGTGTAGTGACTCCCCACGGTTTTACATTCAAGCTCCCAGCAGTCGTTTGGCTTACCCTTGTTTGCTGATCCTCACAGACCTGTGTTTCTTCCCTGCCTATGGCAGCTTCTGAGCTGGAGAAATGTAACTGTAATTTAATTTTTAATTTTATTTGCAATAGGAGAGACTGAGAGGTCAGGTACTGAAGTGGGGTTCAGCGCTCAGGCAAGAGTGGGACCAAAGAGTAGAGCATATACGAATAACAAGGCTCAGTGGTGCAGGGGTGGAGGTGCTCCTTCCCTTTCGAGGTGCATCCTACCGATGGTCTGCTCCCACAGCCAGAGGTGGGAAGTGCCTTCCCCTTGCGGCAGGGAGGAGCAGAGGTGTTTCAGGACTGTTCCCTGCAAAAGTTGATGGGGGAGAGGGTACACCTAATGTGGTGAGAAACTGGGGTCTCAGTAACCCCCAGGCTGAGCAGACAGGCACAAGAAGCAGAGGCATGGGGTTGGGTTGCTTGTTCTGAGTGTGAATCTTCACCCTCTTTCTGCTTGGTGTCCTTTTCACGTGTCACCAAACTCTCTGGATTCGAATTCCCCTGGGACTGCGAAGGACCGAGTCCCACAAAAGTGTTCAAGGCTCAAAACAAGCTTTTGGCTCGTGACTCCCAAATCCTTACCCACCTTTGCCTACCACCTGGCCCTTTTACTGACCGAAGCCAAGAGCAATCTGGCTGCTGCCTGGGGCACTGACGTGTGTTAATAATGCGCTGCTCTGGCTCTTGCTCGGAGGGGTACTTCAGAAAGTATAAAACACTGTTATATGGTTAACCATTTGGTCTTTTGCCTCAGGACCTCAGTGAACTGGGGTCAGGGTGATCCGCTGGGTAGATCAGTGTTGCTCCGTTGAAGTCAGCTGTGGATGGCGTAGTGCTGGGGTCATGCTTTCTGTGGGCTCACCCAGTAACTTTTCTTCTTTTGTTTATATAAATGTAGGCAAACTTCATGCTTCATCTTTCCTCTGCTGTGTTACAGAGCCACAGGCAGCTGAGCGGTGCCATCAGTGGCACCAGACCTTACACAACGTCTCCTATTTTAATAACATGAGGTTCATTTGAGATTGCAGGCAGGGCAATACGTTGGTTCAGATGTGATCACTTCCACGTTTCTTTTTCTTGGGGAAGAGCTGCGGTTTCTTTCCATTAGCCTGCACGCATGTGGTGGAGACTGCGCTTTGTGGACAGCAGATGTTTCTCTCAGGCCTGAATGCCAAAAAGATTTAACAGAAGAGCAAAAAAGTGATGCTTGTCCCAGCCCCCAGCAGATGGACCACATCTGCTCTGGGCAGGTCCCACCAGGCCCCTCTGGAGTGGAGGAAGCCAGTGTCCCCTGTTCAACCCCTCCACCCTGTGAGCACAAAACGCGGGACTGGCCGCAAACAAACAAAAAATAGCGCTGTGGTAAGCAAGGATGAGGAATCTTCTGCAATTTCTTTTTTTTGGCTTTTAAAAGAAAATTTGTGGTTCATAATACACAATGAGAAGAAGCATGTAGAATAATATTCAGCTCATAAATGCAACTCTGAAACTGCAAGGTCAGCTGTGGCTTCTTGGGTCCAATAACTACAGCAGGAGCAAAGCCACCCTCCCCTCTGCTCCTCCCAGTTTCAGAATTGCAAAACTTCCTATGAAGATTGGTGCTGGCAGGAGCGCAGCTATGTGAAAATAGAGAGCAAGAGAGATACGAGCAAGAACCTGCTGCGAGCAACTCCTTGTTCTCTAGATTTTGACAGATTGACTCTTTGATGTCCTCTCTGAGAATATCCTTTGGCATCCATCTCCATGGCTGTTTCTCAGATTCACACTCCGTGCAGAGATGGTCCAGCTACAACCCCCGCATTTTTCCTGAAGCTCAGCATTGCCAGGGTCCATGGCTTTCACACCACCCCTCATTAGCTCCTGGTCTCACATAAAGGCCCTCTGTTTATTTCTCTGACCAAATGTTTGTGTATTAAGACCTTGTGGTTTATGACCAGTCAGGATCAAAACCAGCAATGCTTCCAGCTTTGCTGCTTTGCATTCATGTGTATCTCAAAACGTGAAGGGATTGTCTGCCAAGGGAACTAGAGAGTTTATAATGAGTCGAGCTGGCTTGTAGGGTGTAACCATAACCTACAGCAAAGAGCCCTGGAAACTTTCAGGATCAGAGTCCAGAGTAAAGCTTGGCAAAGGGCTGTCCTCTTATGCAAAAGAGAAAAAAATTTTACATGCGGTCCTGCAGCAGTTGAAACCTCCCAGACTGGTGTGGAGCACTGTCTTCTTCATGTATGGTCTTCTCTCCTTTGCAGGATGCTGAGGAGGAGGAAGGAGAAGTCATCACCACCTCAGTGGGGGAAGGAGAGGGATGCTCGGTGCCACTGCACCTCTGCTGGTTGCGGAGGAGGTGGGAGGCAGCCTGGGAAGCGCTGGCTCCACACTGGGACCGGAGGTGCCACCTCCCCTGGCACCGCTACCGCTGCCAAACGGGGGTGAGGGAAGGACCTTTCTTCTGGGTTGGCTTGTATTTCAGAGTGAAATTTCACAGCAGCAGGAGAAGGGGAGGAAGGAAATCTTATTTTCCTGTAAAAGGACTCCCTGCCTGTATCCCGCGTATGGCATGTGGTGGGAATGGTAATGGGGCGGGGAGAAATCCTATCAACCATATCCCAGGGGGGAAGGCTCTCGCTTTCTGCTTTTCCCCTCTGCCTTTGATATCTCCAACCCTCTGACAGATCCCCGGAGCTGCTCAGAGGAGAAATGCAAGGAGAAGAAAGCACTCCAATCACATTGACGCGACTCCATTCCTTCAGCAAGCTATATATATTTTTTTATTTTCTAGTCATTTGAACAGCGGAGAGTTTGGCAATAGTGACAGCCTCGGAAGTGTGCACTCTGCATTTGTGCGTGTGGATGTGTTTTGATCCCTCCAGCTTGGTTCCCACTCAACGTCTTTGAAAAACCCACCATCGTGCTGTTTTTAAACAAAGCAGCAAATTGAAATACTTCTCCCATGGGCTCTCCAAGACCATCATGTCTTGACAGCGCAGGGGATGTAGCCTGAACTGGAGGGGTTATGACCAAGCACTGGACTGCAAAGAACCGCCGATACCTTTCAGCCAACAGCCAGCAAAGCTTCATTAAGCTGTCGGGGTGGCTTGCACTTCTTTCCCACCATTGCTGTTCATTTCAATTCATTTTTTTCTTTAACCCTTTTCTCAGCGAAAAAATACGGAGGCCAGACCTTCAGCTGGGCGTGACTTGATTGGCACAAACAGTACTCAGCAGACTTCTGTTTGCTGAGGACTGTGCCTGCACCAGCAGAGACTGGACTATTTCAGCTGGGTTTCCATCACTTAAACAGGTCAGATGATTCCTAAAGCCACTACCATGAGTTGTCCTGGGGTTCATTTTCAGTACACAGTTGGTTTTTATTCAGCAGTGTATTCCCTAATAGCATTATGTTTCAGCTACTTACGTAATACTTTCATCTTGCTGCAAGTTATCACTGCTCCCCCCACGATGCTGGAGCATAAATAAAGCTTCTGATGGGATTTTAGGTCAACCCATGCCTGTTACTTGCTAACGCATTCATGCACATAACTGGATCAGTCGGACAACCCATTGAGCAGCTGGTACTCAGCCAATAAACCCAATTGTATCTCTCGATGCAAAGCAGGAGTAACTCCCTCTGCTTGCTGAGACAGGACCTCGATCCCCAGCAGCCTGAGTCAGGGCACTGTGAGGAACAAGGAGCTGCCAGGGCTTAGGGGGGAGCAAAACAGGAGAAGAACGCAGGAACTAGCTATGCTGGCATCCCCACAAAGCTCAGCAAGATGGGAAAGGACATTGCAGAGCTACAGCCCCGGGCAGCCGAGGCAGCTGTTTGCCAGGCTGGACTGCTGCACTGGTTCTTTGCCAAAACAACCGAGCCATCCTAAATAATTCCCTGTGTAAAAAAATATCCCTATAAATTGTGCCTTAGTAAGAGCGATGCAGCTGCTAACGGGGCTGGATGTGGCCAGACGAAATGCTCTAACGCTCTCTGATCCGACACCGAGCCGCGACGACTCTCTTTGCAAAGAGTCACTCTACTTGAACACGTGCGTGCGTGCATACGTACATGTAGACGTACACATACCTATAGCTTTATCATCCTGCTGCCAAGGGGGAAGACCCAGGCTGCGGGCGGGGGGGGAGAGCCCCC